CCAAGGTCAGAACTGGATAGGATTTTTGAGATCACTGGACATCTAGCATGTATTTATGGTTCTGGCATTAAAGCAGATTACATTAGTCTGTTATTTCCCTTGTTTTCTTGCATTTATGCTGTTTGCTTATTGCTTTTCAGCTGCCTGGGCAAGTTCAGTAACTGTGTGCAGTATGCTGGCTTCAGTAGTTAATGATTTATTTGTTTTAAAGACAACTTTTCTTACAGTGTTCTCTTTCTCCTGGAAAGCATTCTGCTGGTATAGATGAATATTGATTGATTGTATTCGTAAGGCTGAGAGAACAGATTTGCTTGGGATTCATTTGGCTCTCTAAACTATAGTGCGGACCTTGTACAGTATCTCATCAGCAGGCAAAGCCACTTCTCCTGCATCTTCCAACCTGAGATAAGGGTTGGACTTTCTTTTTGGTTTATGCTCCTGAGCATCAGATTTACTACTGCCATAAAAAGGGCTTACTCAGTGTGCCCAGTGGAGCAGTGTCTACCAGAGGTTAATCCAGTGGTGAACATCCTCTGTAGTGTGTTTGTGGCAGCACAGATCTTACGGATTTCTGCTTTCTCCCTTGTCTGTGGTGCTCCCGTTTTAAATGATGAAAGAGGATTTTAAACCTGTGCAGAAAATGGCATCCTTGCTGAGGGTGCAGTAGATCACGCAATTTATAGCACATATCTGCTGCAGGCTTGTAAAGCCTGGGAGTTGCCTACTGGAAAGGAAAACTGCCCTTCCTTATGGGGTGTTGCAACAGCTGAGTCAGCAGGTAGGGTTGAACTTGCAAGTCCCCAGGATTTATGAAAGAGAGGGCTGCCAAGATGCAGCCATTCATCAAGGGCCTTCCACTTTTTTTTTTTTTTTTTTTCCTCCCATAACCATCTATTTGAATAAAACTCAGTTTTGTATTAGATTAGGTTTTACCATTGTCACCAGGTTTTACAAAATGGGTTATGGAAGCTTAGCAGAGGGTGGTATTAAGATGTACACGAGTAACCACAAATTTACAGGCTGTGCTTTCTGTGGGTTGGTTTGCTATTTGTGAGATCATGAGAGAAAAAGTATATGTTAGCGTATTAATAGGCAAAATAATTAAAGATGTTACAACCTGTGCAGATTATCTTGTCACTGGGTCTTTCTGCATTCCTTCTGCAGTACTGCCTTGTCAACTGTACTTTTTGTTTTGTATTTCTTCCACTCCGTTTGCCTGAAGGCCTGTCTTAAAACAACAAGAGAAGCAGAGTGGTTGCTTTCTGTGTAAGAAATGTTCTGTTTTTAAATAGAATTTCAAGAATCGTAATGTGTTTTGTGAATGATGGAGCCATCATTCCCTGAGATAAAGCGTCATTTCTTTTAGCATAGAAAAGAGAAAACAAAGGAAAGGTCTCTGCAGTCTGTTACTCTGACATCTTACTTACTATTAACCTAAGTTAGGTGTCTAGGCTACGCCAGGTGTTGTCACTCCCTCAGTAGTAAATGAAGAGAGAGAAGCACCTGAAGGGCTTGGTCCATCTAAAGAGAGGTTTCTAAGATGCAATGCGCTTTTGGAACAGCTTCTTCCAGTGACTGCAGACAGAGCTCAAACAGTTGATGAAAAGTAAATGCCTTTTAAATGGTTAGTATCAGTTGGATAAATCCAACGCTCGTTATGAGAGTGCTCTCATCTGGGAAAGTCGAAATAAACAAAATCATTTCATTTAAACTTCCTATGAGAATTGTGACTTCTGAGCAAAAGCAAACTCTGAAACATATGTTTGAAATGATCTTTGTTTGGGAATTGTTTTGCAATGTGTCCTTTTCCAGTGTAATGTGAGCCTTCTGTGGTATGGTATGTGAGACAGCTTGGAGAATCTGAGCTGTAATTGGGGAATAAGGGCAGGATATAACCAGGTGGTTCTTTATTTAAATAAAACATTGAAGTAGTGTATGGAGGGGGTGCTTGTATATTTTGTGTCTTCTCTGTTTTATTGGTGGAAAACTGAGACATGCCATGGAAAAAGACTTTGAGTTTAAAAGCAAAAAACCTTAGTTTTCTGTCATGATGGTTTAGAAATTTTTTTCTTTTTTCCTTTTCAGTCTGCCTTACAGATTTCTGTCTATCTGGAATACAAGTAGTGTGGTTTGTGTGTTAAGGTATGAACTCAGGCATGTGTGACTGACTCTTAATTCCAGGAGTTTGCAAGGAAAGAGTGAGGCTAGGCAATGTCTGTCTGGGTGAAAGATGACAAGCTCTGTGTTGTAGGTCTGAATGTTTTGTTTTTTTCTCTTCTTTTGTCTGTAACTTTAGAAGAGCGTGATGGCTCTCAATATACATCACTCTGCCAGTCTCTGTTAAGGAAGAAACTTGGTGGTGAGCTCATATGGGTTAGTCCTGATGACACAAGTCAACAAGCAGGCACTGGCTAGTTCAGGTAACCTGCTGAAGATGAAACGAAAGAGAGCACACAGAGAAACAATTCCCATGCAAGGAACTTTGCTGCTCAGCTAGGATTATGGAGGAAACAAAACTGCTCTGTAATCTGCCATAATTGCAGCAAACCAGGCTAGCGGTTCTTCCCAGCTTTCATCCTTTTGTGAGGACTTTGCTTAGCAGAGACACTGTGCCGGTGATGCACAAAAAGAGAAGTGTCATCGGGCTGCTCTGTGGCCATTGTGCCTGTGACAGACCCATCAGAACATGTGTCTGCAATAAATGTGAGCCACAGACAACTTAATTAAAAAAAAAAAGAAAAAAAAAAGCCGAAATGCCAGCATCTGGGCAGTTTGATGCTCAGCTTTACTGGAGCTTAGGGATGTTGGATCTCCTGTTCCACGTAATTGTATAAACAGACTTCATCATCTCCTCCCCAAGCAGGTCCTCTAAAGGTAGTGCAGATGAGTGAAGCATTGAAGGGTGGCAAACCTATGACTTTCCATCTCTCTCTTTTTTTCCATTTTTTCCCTTTTTGTAATGAATAGGGGTGTTGTCAGCTGCCTGCATTGTGTTCATCACTGTCAGGGCTGGCAGTGTAACAGATAACTGGATGGATTCAAGGCCACCCAGGGAATGGAGCCTGACAGGACCTCATTCATCACTTCCATTTCAGAGGTCTCTATGGAAGAGCTGGCATCAAAGAAGTAATCAAGGCTCACAGGACCATGTGGGGGTTTGGGAGGAGTGCTCTGCATTGCAAACAAACCAAGCTGTCAAATCTGTTTTGTAAATGAAGTGTTTTTCTGGAGACTGTGTTTATAACTGTCACTCTAAGCATACTCCCCATAATATACAACTACTGTGGCAGCCCAGGGCCACAACCCGGTCTATTCCCAGCTTCCAAAAAAAAAAAAAAAAATTGCAATCGCAGGGAGAAGTTAAAAAGGTGTGTGTGGGGAGGTGGGGGCGTTTAAAATATGGTTCATCCTAATGGTTTGTTTTATCAGGTGGCCTCTCTATCTTCGGTTCTGGTCTCGGCACCCGAGCCCCATTCATCTCATGTAATTGGCCCGCTAAGCATGATGCCTTGCCTTCCGCAGACCAGGCACACGGTGCAATTTGCCACCGGCTATGTGAACTTCGTGACAGCAAATGAGTTTGCCCTAAAGATAAAAAATATCCAAGGGGACAAAGGGAAGGCATTTGTCAGCCGTGAGAGGCTGGTACTGATAGCCCTTACATATGAAATGATGCCAAAAGCTTTAGGTTTCCATCGTGACAACAGGTGAGCTGTCTGCTCAGCCTGGTGACTGCTTACCTCTCAGTCTCTCCTGACAGGCAGGATAGGTAGCTATCTGCACATACAGCACACAAAGAAGGAGGAGTTCATGAAAGGAAGAGTGTCTGTACTAAAATTTTATGGTACACTTAACTACTTTGGACTGGCAGAGTAGAAACTTCCTATTGGATTACCATTTTTATTATTAAATACTGTAAAACACTTACTGTGACTTATGCTTCTTAGAAATTATGTGTGTGTGCTAAGAATAGCTTTACATAATGCAGTGGATATTTTCTTTTAAGTTGCTAAGTTTTTTTCTGAGTCCTAAGCTCTCTTGAGGCAGCAAAAGCTTAGTAAATCCTGGAAATAATACTGATTGAATGCAGCTTTAAATGACAGAATGAAACAAGCAGAGGTAGTGCAAGGCCTTCCCCTGCTTCAGTAGCCTGGGTTACGCTCGGTGTTGGCTGCCCAAACCGTTCCTAAAGGACAACCCATGGCAAAACATTTGCCACACTGAGAATTTCATAAGATGGCAATGATCTTTATTCGTACAGCACTTTTCACCCAGGAGAAAAACACAGCGCTTCACAAAGCAATTTTTACAAGCTGTACACCACTGAAAAACAAGCTCCTCCAGGACGAAATACATCAGCTGCTTCACAGCAGCACCACTGCATGAATAAAATAATAAAGCTATTTGGAGAGGAGTTAATGGCTGCCATCGAGCCAGTCAGTGACTGACAGGCAGCAGTAGGTTTTGCTGAAGGTGATGGGTGTCCTGAACTCCTCCATTTCAGGAGAACAGAGGGTTGCAATTCAGTGTCCCTTTGCACAGTGAAAGCTGGAGGGAGCAGCGAGCCCTCCCCTGGTAACAGGCTGGGCGATGAGGGGCTCCTCAGATGCTGAGGAAGGACGTTGATGAAGGAGGTGAAACAGGGTGGGGAGGTGATAGCTCACCAGCTACGTTGACAGGTCTCAGTCTCATTCACCTCAGAGCTTTGTCTTTGACATCCTCAGCACCAGACAGTGCCGATGATCTTTGCAGACAAAGGAGATTTCACCAAAGACTACCTGTATGCATACAGCTCCCCTTTGCAGGCTAGGAAATGACCTGACAAGTCTTGCAAGATGAACTAGGTGCTCAGGCCAAGGCGTTAATAATGATCTAGTTCAGTGAAGTGGCATGAAGACAATTGGAGCCACGGGGGCTGAGGAGGCTAAATTTCTGTGAAAAGTGTTAAGATATTTTATATGTCTCAGCTATCTGCAACTTCTCCTTCACGTGTATTTTAGGAATGCTACCTCCGGAGACAAATCATCTCCTTTTCCTGGGTGGTGGAAGGATGCTTTGGTGCAGAGAAGTGTGTTGCTGACCAGACCTCCTCCAGAATCTGACCGGCATCCCAGAGGTAACTTTTTTTTATATAATTTCACTACTTCTGGTTGTACGTCAGCTTCAGCAGTCAGATGGTGAGAACTTAAGAAGATTTAACAACATGTAGAATGGGAATTTGCTCAAGTGAAGAACTACTTGCAAAATTCAGACACAATTGGATTTGGTATTCAGACCCAATGTTGTAATTTAGGACCATCTTTTGTTTACAGCTGTACTTATTACTGGCATTAAAACTTCAGGAATTTTCTGTGGCACAGTGGAAGTCTCAGTGAGAATCACCGTGTGAAGGTCAAAAGGAACATTAGAGAAATTTGGAGGCACATTAGGGTCTGAGAGGAAAAAAAAGAACTGTGAGTAAATTGAAAAAGAACATTGGAGAACTATATTGGGTCTTGTAGTGAAGGACACAGATTCCTAGTTAGTGGCTTCTGTGATCATGTCACTGTTAAATGAACAGCTGGACCAGCTGCTATACAGTAAAAAAAAAAAAGTCCAATTTGCAGTTATGGTACTATAAAAACCTTGTAATCCCTCACTTCCAATTGCCACATGAACATGTCTTTTTGGTATGAATAACTGGGTTTACTGCTACATAAGAAATAAGAAATGCATGTATTTCATTTTATTCAACACGGTTGACCCTGGAGATGTTCACAAAATGTGTCAAGCTATGCAAATCAAGTCAAAATAAATATAGTAGAATCAGATGTTTAGAATTTGTTTAAAAACAAACAAACAAACAAAAAACCACAACAGTGTAACAGGGAGAAATCTGGATGCACATGTAGACCTTGGCCTGTGACTTGAAGATGAATCTGGTTCTGGCCATATCATGTTGCCTGAGAACTGAGGTTGCTCCATAGAAAGCAGCTATCCCAATCATGCAACTCCATGAAAAACATGGAAGCAACATCTTCAGTATGTAGTAGGAGGCAATTTTGTAAGGGCATGGGAGTCCCACAGCTGATAAGTGTGTTAGCCTTACAGAATTTGAAAACAAGTAGATGTTTTGGATTAGGTAACATACTTGTTCTTCATGTTATGTAACCAAGAAAATCAAAACTTCAGTTGCTTTGCTAGTATTTGGAAATTCTCCTCTGTAAAGAGCCTGTCCTCCATTTCGGTATCCTTATTTCCTCTAATGCTGAGATCAACTACACTTGGATGAAATTATAAACTAAGAGGAAAGGTGAGGACAGAATTGCAAATCAGGGATGAACTGCTTTGAGGTTACAAAACAGAGGGAGGAAAACAGAATCTTTGCTCCTCTTTATTGCAGTAGAGCCTGGAGCTGTGCTTGTGCAGAAATAGAAGCACAAAACAGAAAAAGCAAGTTGTCAGTTACCAGCAACTTGTTATGGAACTGGATTTGATATTTATAGTACATGGAATGGAAGGGGGAAAAGACAGGCTTTTTTTTTCTACTGCAGAAGGCAGACCTGATGGTGTTGAAGGTCATGTAACTTTGCAGTCTCTCTTATGTAGTGAGTAATGAGCAACCAACTTGGGGGAAAAAAAAAAGACTTTTTATCTCATTAAGAAAACAGTGCGATCTAATTAGCATAGCCTGTTTTTAATTAGTATGTAAGATCAGCTATGGTAATGAAAGGGAAACAAGAAAGCTGGACAGAAGTTTACTGGGGTTCAACTGTGCAAAAATAATTATGATAGAGCAGCTCCTAAAACATAAATCATTTGAAGCAATTCCTTTTGATAAACAGTATACTAAAGATCTGCAAAATAGTAACAAATGATAACAGCTGAAATAGATGTCAAGGCATGTTTGCCTTCATCAAAGGGGTAATAGAATTATTTATGTTTTCTGGCATCTGTAATTTTTACCTATTGAAGCTGAAGAAGCAATCGTAGCTCCTAAACGATAATTGCAAATATGGTATTTCTGCTGTAATTAATTTTTCTGATTGTGGCTGAAACAGGCTATTTCTCGTGATATGTCTGATACAAGCAGTCTCAGCTGAAGGAGGCAGCTCTTGTAGGTGGTGACTGTGGTTTTTAAAAAGAAATCTCCCCTCTTGTAGCCTTGGCGGTGTTGTGCTTCCTGTAGGTGCTATTGTGTAGTTCGAGAATAGTCTTTCAGCTATTGTGGTTTTAAAGCCAGCTGAGGAAAGGGTTAGAGAACATGGTGCTAAACCCCTGCAGTGCCCATTGTTAGTGGTGCCCTGGCCCTGTTCCAGGGGACAATTGGGCCCTGTGACAAAGTGATTTTGCCAGGTGGTGCTGAGGAGGGATCTGCAAAAAAAACATTTCTGACTTCTGTACCAGCTGCTACAGCACTGCACAAGGGATCTCTGATGGACAAAAATGACCTTTAGGGCATGGTGAGGCTCTACTGTCAACAACCTCCCCATGTAGTACAAACTCTGTGCCAACTAGCATGCTTCATCAGTGCTTGTGTGGCAGCAAAACCTTGTGGGTATGGGCTATCCAGGCCACTGTGTCAAACCACTTCCCTGTTGCCTTTCAGCAGTCTTCGTTTTTAATGTTATGGTATGGATTGATCCTCTTCCTTCACATTTGTTTTCACCACAGGCACGGTAGGTGGTTTCATTTCAGCTGTTATTTACAGGGTAGTCCAGTAGAGGGAATAGGCTGGACTCTCAAAAGTGTGTCAGTGGCAGCTAAATAATGAAAGGTTGAGGCTTGAGTATCTGTGGCCGAGCAGTAAACACAAAAATAACATCAGTCCATGGCAGGATTTGTACTCGCTCTGTACTCTGCTGCCAGCCAGGCTTTTGGACCCTCTACGCACCATGTGAAAGCAGTATCTGGTTGTCCTGGTTCATTTCTTTTAAAACTTCTGGAAAGAGAAAGGGAGGAATTGCTTGCAGAGGGAGTGGGGAAGGAAGAGAGGAGGGAGCTGTAAACATAAAAATTATGTTAAAAATAAAATTGTCCTCCTGGAAGTGGTGGGAGCATGTTTGTCAAAAGAGAAGATAGGAAAAGTCTGAGACTAAACATAACTGAAGGCAGAGGCTTTAAGGTGCTCTGTGAGCTCAAGGTGATAGCCTCCACTGCTAAGAACCAATCCTCTGATTTTTATTTTTTGTCCCTAAATACTCTTACTGCATGATGAATAGGGACTCTGCCTAAATTAATGCCTAACTAAAGTCAGTGCAGCTCTCCTGTTTCCTGATAATGTGTTTTTAAAGTGCCTATAGCTGGCAGATCTGGGATGCTGCAAACATAATAGAAATAAAACTGGACTCAGCGGTCTAGAACATCAAGCACTCCAACAGCCATCACCACAGAAAGGAAAACAGGCAAAACAGTCTGGGGAACTACGAGCACTTGAAAAGAGCCAAAGCAGGATAAGAAGGTGCTATTCTGGTGCAGCAAACAGACAATTCAGAGGGAAATTTAGGACAGAGAAGAAAATAAATGGCAGTTGCAGTCACGTTGGTCTAGGGATCCTGTTACTCAAGTACTTCAGGGCTAACTATTAAGGGCTTTCATGCGCTATCAGCAAGACGTTGTGTCAATACGTCTCATATTGGTGTACTGCCAATTCTTTCTGGATAACGTGGAAAGTGAAGTATGCATTTATAAGTGCCAGGAGATAAACCTTGATTTCCAAGTTATGTTTATGTTTTTCTATTAAAATTTGTCATTGGATTCATCTGTTACATAAACATAAATATGGGAACACAGTGAGCTGGGCCATCAATACATTTCATGGTAACATTGACATCATAACCCACAGGAATTTTGCTCTTGCGGTTTATTTTGCTAGTCCCAGAACTGTGGGAAGTATTTATGGTTTTCACGATTCACCGATTATATTTATAATCACTAGAAAGACTCATTTGTATTTGATAAGATTTTTTTTTTTTTAAAGATTTATTATTTTTATTTCTCCAGACTACAGCTAGAATTTAAAGCTAAAGTTCAGCAATTTATAAGTGCTTTTCTGTCATACACCCAAATAGGATTCACCTTGCGCTGTGGTGGGAGATCTGTTAGTATCCTGAGCAGGTCTGAATGCTCTGGCAGTGGCTGAGCTGGGGGAGGAGGAGAGCTGGGTGGTTTGTTTGATGTAGTCAACAGTGTGTGAAAGAAATACTGCATGCTCAAGGTCACGCTCGCAACCCTGTATCACATAGCATGAGCAGCGTCATTTGAAATCTTATGTGACGGCTGAAGCTGCCAGAAATAAAAGAAGATGCTCTGGAATAGCATTGGTTCAACTTTATTCCTCAGCTGTCAGAGATTTCTGTGCTTATGAAACCCTTTGGGCCTCCCCTCACCTATCTGGCTCCGTGTTGGTCCCCTAGCGAGTGTGTTGGGGGTGGCTGTAAGCTGCTTGCCTTGGAGGGCTCGCTGTCACGTAACTTCAAATAATTCCCCAGGATGGAGGTGCTCGTGTTTCCCTGCAGTGAGTTAGAGCTGGAGGCCTGGAGGGCTCAGGCAACTTCAGTGGGTTTTGGATGGTATCGTCACCTTTCTCTATCTGAATTACTTTCTTTGCTCAGGGTACACTTTCACCGAAGTTAGTCTTTGTCTTTCATGGGGTCACTGTCATGTAGTGACCTGAATATGCTGATTTGCTTCTGCAGTACAGGACATAGCAGGAAGTGTAGTAAATAAAAGGAAATGTTTGTCCTTGGAGAGGAGTCTTCTCACTTGATGCTAGAGCAGCCATTGCTCTGCTTTCATTCAGTTTGACTTCTGGGAAAGAATGATGCTGTTCAAGGAGGTTTCCTTCATGAAGCCAACAATAAGGAGTTAACCTTGGGAGAATAGGCTACAGGAAAGGGATGTAAATAAAACACAAATGAGATGGGGCCCCAACCCCTTAGTTTGAAACCCAGGTTAGTAACAGGGACTTCACTGGAGAGATTCCTGGCCATGCAAGGGTGTAATCTACATTTAAAACAAAATCTGGAAAAAGAGAGAAAAAACTTCTGTTATATGTATGGTTTTGCCATGCCCCATTTTCCACCTGCCCTAGTGCCCACCAGCTCGGAGAGAAGTTTTTTTCAGTTCAGCAGGTGT